CCCCCCAGAAGCGTAGGTCCCTTTGTTTTCTCCTCCAGATTGTTTATGGGTAATAACTTCTTATGTAAGAATACCAGACTCACTGTAAAGAGTTGGCGATTGAAGATGTCCCAAACGTCCAATTCTTCCAAGGTAGTACTACTTTCCTCCATGCCCCTGCCCTACTCCTCCCTTGAGTATATCCCCACACATCCTTGTGTTCCGAGATTCGCTGCAATATCCCACAGAGACTCACACAACTTTGAGGAAATGTCTCATGTGGTTGTGGCTATTCAGACCAAAATCCAAGCCAAATGCAGGGTCCTGAGACAAGAGCAAAAAAAGAGGCCCCAAAGCCCCAGCAGCAGGTCTTCCTGCTTCCACTAAAGCACAGTCAGGAAAACGGAGCTCTTTCCAGGGGAGGTGTTGTGTTAGAACCAGCACTTCTATGCCCCACCAAACAGTGTCTTAAGTCACACCCTCTACCAGGTAGAAAATAAATGTTCTCAAGAAAACAAATCACACCCAATTCACACCCTCTAATCAAGGTATTAAAGATATTGTCAAGGAAACCAAACAGTATTCCCTGGTTCACACCCTAAGATGGGGTGTTAAAGATGTCCACAAAGAAACAAAGGGTGTGGCTCAGCCCCCAGCCTCCACCAAGGTCAGGTCACAATCCCGCCCCACTCCTGTCCATCAGCAGAGTCAAGAATGCCCTGCAAATGGGGCCATAGTCACAGGAGTAGGAAATCGAGAACCACCTTGTATCATAAGGACTGTGGCTCAAAGGGCCCTAGTCCCTGAGCATCACTCAATGTGCACTGCAAACCTTGTATTTTAACAACATAGCTGGAGATTAGGCATGTGGGCCTCACCAGATGAACTGAACACACAGGAATCAAATCACCCACAGAACAAGGTCAGACCATCCAGCGTTCATGTGCCAGTTCAAGTGGAAGCTGAAGAAAATTAAAATAAGTCCACAAGAGCCAAGGTGTGACCTTGAACATAACCCACCACCCACCTGAATTTAGAGAGCATTTCAAGACCAGTTGTGCTGCACTGAGCAGCAAGAGCCAAAGACCAGGCAGAGTGGAGGGGCTTCAAGGTCATCATGCACACACAAAGCAAGCTGTCACTGAAAAGACCAGGAAGAAAGGAGAGGCTGAAATGGATTTCAGAAGAGACTGAAACTTGTTCTTGAACGTAGACCAGTTAAAGCAAAAGGAAACATTGATGAAGTGAAAGAGCTGAACAGAGCAGAGGCTGTCTGAGAAGATAAAGTATGATGTGTGCCAAGAATAGGACTTAAGAAACCAAAAGGGGGAAAAAAACAACAAACAAAAAAAGCCCAAAACAAACACACACAAAAAGAAACCAGAAGGGAAGAACATGCTTGGAATTTCTCAAGATGAAAGAGCTGATGAAAAAAAGAAAGAAAAGAAAGAGCTGATGAAACAAATTCAGCCTCAAGTTGCAACACTAAAATATTCCAGGGACCAAACGTGTGCATTGAATAATGCAGGATGCATCAAAGGGAGATGGAAGGATTATATAGACAGCTTACTAAAAAGAGGTGGTTGACATTCAACAATTTCAGGGGCTAGCACATGATCAAGGGCCAATGTTATTGAAGGAAGACGTCTAAGAGGCACAGATGGCACTGATGAGCAACAAGGTTCCAGGAGTTGATGGAATACCCATGGAAATATTTCAACAAACGGGTGCCAGAATGGAAGCACCTGTCATCTATGCCAAGAATTTTGGAACAGCCTATTAGAAGAGATACACATGTATGCCCATTTCACAGAAAAGTTACTGAATGAACTGTGGAAGTTGCTGGACAATATCGTTCATATCACACACAGGCAAAGTTTTGCTGAAGATCATTCAAAACTGTTGCAATAGTACTTTGACAGGAAATTCCAAGTGGATTCAGAAGAGAATATCAAATGATGTCGGATGAATCTTGGTGGAGAATACCAGAAAGAAGTTGCCCTGTGATTTATTGACTATAGAAAGGCATTCAGCTGTGTGAATCATAACAAATAATGGATAACATTACACAGAATGGGGATTCCAGAACACTTAATTGTGCTCATGTGGAACCTGGACACAGACCAACAGGCAGTCATTTCAACAGAACAAAGGGCTAGTGAGTGGTTTAATATCAGGAAAGTGTGTGTTAGCATCGTGTCCTTTCACCATACTTATTTCATACGTGAGCTGAGCAAAGAATCTGAGAAGCTGGACTATAGGGAGAAGAACTCAACATTTGGAGGAAAACTCCAATATGCAGATGACAATAGACAGACACACAATATACAGATGGCACAACCTTGCTTGCTGAAAGTGAAGGAGGACTTGAAGTATTTACTGACAAAGGTCAAAGACTACTGCCTTCAGTGTGGATTACAGTATGGATCTCAACATAATGAATTAAAAAATCCTTACCACTGGACCAATTAGCAACCTCATGATACATGAGGAAAATGTGAATTTGTCAAGGATCTAATTTTATTTGGAGCCACAAGCAACACCGTAGAACAGCTGTCAAGAAATCAAGTGAGTATTACATTGGGTACAACTGCTGCAAAAGACCACTTGAAGATATTAAAAAGCCAAGATTTTTATCTTGGGGATTCAAATGCACCTGACCCAAGCCATGCTGCTTTCACTGGCCTCAGACCTACGCACCATTGGGACAATGCATAAGGAATACAGAAGCATTGCTATCTTTGAGTTGTGGCAGTGTTTTCAGGGACTATTGACTACAGCACGTTGCTGTTACGTGATAAGTAGATCCAACCCTGTGCGCTGCAGAACGAAATACAGCCTGGTTCTGAGCCACCTCCCAATTGTTCCTGTGTCAGCCCATCTCCTCGAAGACTCCTTTTCACCGGCCCCCTACTGTAGTAACCAGGATGTCCTTCTGCAGAGACGGCCCAGGGGAGGGCCTGTCCAAAGAGCATGGGCCATAGCATATTGAGGCTTTCCCATGCTCAATTTCCCTTGGTCACGACATATTTTTATGTATTATTGGATTCTTGTTGCTGTTTTTTATTTTGTATTCTCTCTTCGAAACTTTTCTTCAGTGACACATTTCCCTAAATCTGCTGATTTCTTGTTTCTCTTTTTCACCCCCAAAATGAGGACTTTTATAACTTTTGTTCCTACTCCTTTCCAATAGCTATTACCTAATTTAAAAGGTTTTCCTTGCCAGGGGCTTAGGTGGAGAGCAAATGTTTTGAGAATGACGAGAGCAATGAATGTACAAATGTGTTTTACACAATTGATGTCTGTATCGATTGTGATAAGAGTTGTATGAGCCCCTAATAAAACGATTGAAAAAAAAGGTTTTCCTAAGTTTTATTTAGGTTGTGAATAACACTTCTAAAGGATTTGTAAATGTCTTCAGAAGTAGTGTGTTCCGATCTTGACCTGTCTTGGGGGTTAATAATTAGTTTAGTTTTCTCATTTGTAGGGCAATTATTCTTCTCCTTATTCTCTTTCTTTCTTATAGTAAGTAGTTCAGAGTAAGATTCAATCGCAGTACTTTGTTGTTGCTAGGTTTTACCCAAGGTTATTTATTTCCCCCTGAGGTTTGAGGAGGATGAGCGTTCAGGATGGTTTTACTAAGTTCACGGAGCTCCCTCTTCTGTTGTTCTTGTGAAGCGTTCAGAAAATGACCTCTGTTCGGACGTGTCTGTTTTCTGTTTCCACCATGCTTTGACCTGGTCTTTGGGTTCTGTCCTGCTCAAATTTTACTCCATTTCCAGAGTTTTTTCTCAGTGTAGGCCTTCTCTCAAAAGGGAGCTGTGACTGATGGATTTGAAAATAGCACCGATGAAACACATGATTTTCCTCTAGTTCTTTGGTGCTTCCTTCCCCCCACTATCATGACCTCAATTCTACGTTACAAATCAGATTAGACCAGAACACGCACAGATAGATAAACCCCTCAGGGCCAACAAGGAGAGTAGAGCTATCAGAAGGATTAGGGGAGGTGGGGAGAGAAAGGTGAAACTGATCACAAGGATCATCTAGAACCCCCTCCCAGGGGGATGAATAGCAAAAAAGTGGGTGAGGGGCAATAGAGGATGATGTGAGATATGAAAATAATAATCTATAACTTATCAAGAGTTCATGAGGGAGGGGGAAGAAATGGGGAGCTGATATCCGGGGCTCAAGTGGGAAGAGAATGCTTTGAAAATGATGATGGTGGCAAATGTGCTTGACACACTGGAAGAATGTATGGATTGTGATAAGAGATGTAAGAACCCCCAATAAAAGTATTTGAAAATTTTTTTTCACATATCCCAGACCTTACCCAGGACACCCACTTCCTATGGCATTGGTCTATCTGACTTTCCAGTTTAAAAACAAAAGAAAACACCAACAAACAAAAACGGGGAGAGTCTCCCTCAAGTCCAGTCTTACTATGACAATTTCATGTGCTGAGCTGCTCCACGGGGTTTTCAATGGCGCGGGGTTTTGTTTGTTTTTCAGTTTTTTGAGGAAGTGGATCACCATACCTTTCTTCCGTGGTGCCAGTGGGTAGATGCCAACTTCCAGCCTTTCAGTGAGGAGCCTGGTGCTTTCAGTGCTGGGCACATCCAGGGGATTGTGGAGTTCTCAATGGCTTGGCTTTGTTAGCTTTGTTTTCCTTTACATTCATCACCTCACTGAAATGCTACAAACTGTGAGAAATCTTCATAGTTTCTAGATGTCTTTCAGACATCTGTAGATATGAATAGAATGAAATAGTAAGGAGCTTAGAGAAAAATCATCAGATTCATACTTTAGCAGTGACTTAAAGCATTTGATGAATGACTGACTACCATACAAAGTGACATAGGAAAACTGAAAGAGAGAAGTGAAAATGGGAATTTCCTCTGCCTGTGGGACCATCCCATATAAAGAGCCCAGACCCATGGAGGAAGGCATTCACACTCAGCCTCTCGAAGCCTTCACCAGACCCGCAGGTAGCACCCGACAACCTGGGGCCCGTTTTCATCATGACCACCAGGGGCATCCTCCACATGGCTCTCCTGCTATGCTTCTCCACCACGGCTCTCTCCAGGAGCTACAACCTGCTTCACTTCCAACAAAGGAGCAGCAAGCTGGTGTGCCAGAAGCTCCTGCAACAGTTGAATGGGACCCTTGAAGCTTGCCTCAAGGACAGGGTGAACTTCAAGATCCCCGAGGAGATTAAACAACCACAGCACTTCCAGAAGGAGGATGCCACATTGGTCATCTACGAGATGGTGCAGCAGATCTTTGGGATTTTAAGAAGGAAGGTCTCCAATACTGGGTGGAATGAGACCATCATCGAGAACCTTCTAAGTGAGCTCTATCAGCAGATGGACCATCTGGAAACCATCCTGGAGGAAGATCTGGAGGAAGAGAACGCCAGCAGGGGCACCATGCGGACCATTCTGCACCTGAAGGGCTATTACTTCAGAATCCTCCGGTATCTGAGAGCCAAGGACTTCAGCAGCTGCGCCTGGACAATCGTCCGGATAGAACTCCTCAGGAACTTTTCTTTTATTGGCAGACTTACTGATTGCCTCCATGAATGAGGCTCCTCCAGCCTGTGTCCCTGGGACTGGGACCATCTTGACCACAATGCCAGACATGCTTCAGCCAGCAGAAACTCTTTAAATGACTGCAAGAACAGCAAGAGACTTTGAACATTTAAAATTTATTTATGCATTAAGTTATTTTTTTTATTCCTTATTTAAACCTTTCCCTTGGAAAATAAATTTTTTTAATAACATGAAAGTCAACGTGACTGTTTTAATTTCAACTTGACATTATGGACATCCATAACTATCCATATTAAGATCTGCCGGGCACCTATTAGATGGTCTATGTAAAATGCACCTATGGAATAGGATTAGGTTCTGGACCTTGCCTTCAAGGAATTACAAATCCAAGGAAGTCAAATAGGAGGCACAAGGTAAGAGAGGATAAGGAATCCTGGGCCTTCCAAGGGAATACTGTGGCCTGCATCTACAGAGGGTTAGGAGGGAAGATGCAGGCAAGCTTTGAAAGTAGAGCCTGGAGATCCGGTTGCTTCTGCTCTGAGGCCCAGGGTCTCGAGTTCTGAAGTGGAAAGAGTTGCCTGGCCATAACAGTGGCAGGCCAGGCCAGGCCAGCAAACTCTAAGGCTTACCTAAGCCCATCCCAGTTAGCTGCATGGTGGGTTTCCCTCAATAGGATGTTACCATACGGTGTGTCCCTAAGTAGATGGGTGAGAAGTCCCAGGTACTTTTGTGGCACTGTGTGGCAACAATGCCTTTTACTGTGCCCAGATGTATGGGACTCTTAGGGAGCTGGGGTTCACCATTCACTTCCAGGGCACTGATGTGAGGACAAGGAGAGTTCTGTTCTGTATCATGATGTAGCGCTCTATACAGTTACCTGGCTAGGGTTTCTCTCCATTTTCCCCCCAGAAAATAAATTCTTCTCCAGGTCCTCCCGACCTTGCTCATGGAGAATCCCAAGAACATTCTAGCTACCGTGTATTGCCTACTGCTCTGCCTCTCCGAAGTCATGCACTAGGATCAAATCCAAACGGGGGGCAGAGGGTTTCAGTGCAGATTCAACCCAAGTGAAGGACTGGGATGCTGGAAAGAAAGGGGTATCTGGTGGGGGACTGGGGGGGACGTGGGAAATGGGCCCCACAAAGAGGGCAGGGACATTTCCTCGAGCTTCCACTAGGAAAATAAAATTCTCTCAGGAGGCTTTGTGGGCACCTAGTTGGCATGGGCCAGATATCTAGGGTTTTGTCTTTGCATTGACTTCCTTCTCAGTCACTGGCTTTGAGTCATCGCAACCCTATAACTGGCCCCCTTAGGAGCCAGTGTCATCCTTACTGCCATTTACTGAGAGCTTCCAGAGCAATAGGCCTGTGGGGAGCACTTGGATACAGAATGGGGTGTCATCCTCTTTACAAGGGACAAAAATTGCATGTTTCCCATTTTACAGGAGGGTAAACCAAGTCTCAAACCGATTTGGTAATCACCCCAAGATCACATAGCTAGCAAATCGAGATTATACAAGAAGAAGTCTAAAGGGCGGAATCAGAAAAGCTTTAATTTGGGTTGAGACTTTCCTCTCCTTCTTAGAGCAGTACCCAAGTCTAAGCTCCTCGTAGAGGATTCAGACTTTAGGAGAAGAAACATATGTCCACCAAGAGTTCCAAATAAGATACGACTGTGCAGACGGTGAACTATGGATACGCGGCGCTGGATTCACTCTTCTGGTTCAAGATCTGTGCCATTTGGGCTGTGGAATCAAGAAGTGGCATCCAGATGGAATGCCACCATTTTCCCCAAGCCAGTCAAAAATACCAGCCCCCCTTTTGTTCCCATCTCCCCGCATGCTATTCCAATTCCAAGACCTGCCAAAAACCCTTTGGCAGTCAATGCTCTGCTTTGTCTGGGAATCCCGGGCAAGATCAGCATGTAGAAAAGCAGTCTAGGAAGGGTTTAGATTAGTCAGAGAATGCTAATGAAGTACTCAGCAATGGCCCTGGATGGGGCCAAACGGCTAATCGGAGCCAAGAGCTGAGAGCCTGGAAAGCCCTTGAAAAGTCTGCCCAGCCTTTGTGCTAGGGATTCGGGGCAGTAGAAGGTGTCCCCTGTAGAATAAGAAATCACTGTGCCACCTCTGTGCATGGCTCTAGCATACCAATGACCACCATGAACCAGAGTTCACTTGAAGACATGTACTAGGTATGCAATTGTTATTATCTTAGCTGGTCCCAGTATACCTCTTTGGGGGGAAAAATATTCTATTTTTAGAAAAATATTTTATGAAGGCTCCTGAGATGTGAGAGGAGCTCTTGAGATTATGGACATAGAAATTAAAAAGACAGTTAAAGGCCTATCGCATGTTTGTGTACACCTGCTTGTTCTGGAGAGGGAGAGACACGGCACGTCCACAAGATGGTGTGGCGCCACGTTGCTCTCAGGCAGAAAGCAAACAGTGAAGCATTCCTGGTGGGGTGACCAAGGGACTTTTCAGCACAGCAATGTCTTACCTTCAACTTGAAATAATGTGCACTGATGTGGTGAAACCCTCTCCTCCCTGCCCTCTGCACCTTCATTAAAGACCACTACTCTGATGATGCCTTATACCTGATCCCTTCGACACCTCGTGGTTGCATAGGCTAGTGTGCTTCTTCCATGTGGGCTTTGTTGCTTCTGAGCTTGATGGCCGCTTGATTACCTTCAAACCTTTAAGACCCCAGATACTATATTTTTTGATAGCCGGGTACTATCAGCTTTCTTCGCCACATTTGCTTATGCACCCATTTGTCTTCAGTGATCCGTTCGACACCTCGTGATCACACAGACAGATATGTTCTTCCATGTGGACTTTGTTGCTTCTGAGCTAGATGGCTGCTTGTTTCCCTTCAAACTTTTAAGACCCCAGACACTATATCTTTTGATAGCCGGGCACCATCAGCTTTCTTCACCACATTTACTTTTTCACCCACTTTGTCTTCAGTGGTTGTGTCGGGAAGGTGAGCATCATAGAATGCCAATTTACTAGAAGAAAGTATTCTTGTGTTGAGGGAGTACTTGAGTGGAGGCCCAATGTCCTTCTGCTACCTTAATACTAAACCTATAAATATAGGCACATAGATCTATTTCCCCATCCTCATATAAATATATTTGCATATGTACACGTCTTTATCTAGACCTCTATAAATGCCCTTTGTCTCCCAGCTCTTTCCTCTATTTCCCTTGATTCTCCTCCTGTCCCACTGTCATGCTCAGTCCCCACCAGGATTTCAGCACTTCCTCTTTGTTACATTCCCCTTGATCATGCCCTACCAGGCCTCCCACACCCACCTCCCCACCAATTTGGATCGCTTGTTGTTCCCTTGTCCCTGGGTTTGTTAACACCATTCCCTTCCCCCCACCTCCCCTTCTCCCATGTCCCCCCCCCACCACAACTGTCAGTCCCGTTGTTTTCTCCTCCAGATTGTCACAATTGATGTGTATATGGATTGTGATAAGAGTTGTATGAGCCCCTAATAAAACAAGTTAAAAAAAAAGAAGACCACTACTCACTTAGAATCTGTGCATGCACAGAATTTCTCTCTACATATGCATCTTAGGAAGGACCATAGGGAGGGAAAAAAGAGGAGCTGATCCCAAGGGCTCAATAGAAAGTAAAAGTCTGTAAAAAACCCGATGGCAACATATGTATAAATATGCCTGATATAACTGATGTATGGATTGTAAGAAGAGTTGTAAGAGACCCCAATAAAATGATCTTTTAATTAAAAAAATGAAAATGAAGCGTAGACAACAGACTGAGAGAAATTTACAAAGGACAAGACCTGATAAAGAACTCATATACACACATACACCACATACAGCTATAATTTAAAAAATGATAGGTATGACATTTTAAAACCTTTCACTCAATAGTATGAAAATAAATAACCCAATTTTAAAAAATGGGCAACATAGTTGAACAAAGAGTTCAAAGAAAATACACAGATCGAAAATAAGCATTTGGCAATAGTAAAGTTTTTCTTGTGGCATTTTTTTCCTGGTTCAAATCAGCTAATGAATATGAAATGGTTTTGATCCAAATGGAACCATTTCACCATGATGACATACCAGGGCCATGGCCCCTTCTGAGAAAAGCCTATCTGTACAGTCTGCTGAGCTGCACGTGAGGTTTGCTGAGCAGAGATCAATATAGGCTTCTGCCTCGGCTAAGCTGGCTGGCCCTATACAGAGAACAGCACAGTGGGGTAGGGAATCCAAAGGTGTTGCACCCACATTCAGATCTTGGCCATCACAGGCATTTTCTCTAAATCTGTTGCACTGCTGCTGTTGAACCTGAGACACCAACTGCTTTTCTAAGTGCACCCTTCCCCCTAATGCTAATTGCTGCTTCTTCAACATCGGATCTGTCTAAGACCCCCAAGAATAGTTCACTTAAAACAATCACACCACCAGTTTGGACTAGAGGTTACCAACAAATCAGTACATTCTGCATCCTTTGATTGTCTCTTTTCCAAATTCATGCGCTGCTTTATAATTCTCCCTGTGGGTCTTCTTTGAAAATTCCCGAATGTATTCTGTTAAATTTTATTCCCCCAACAATTAGCCCATGAATTAAAAAATGGGACTCACTGCAGAAGATCCTCTCAAGATGGAAAAATAAACAAACAAAACATATCACAGACTTGGGGAACACATTTGCAAGTCCTATATCTGATAAAGTCATAAATCTATGCACAAAGAACCCTCAAAATCCAATAAGAGAACAACTAACTGAATAAAAATGGGCAAAGTATTTGAACAGACATGTTACTAAAGAAGAGACATAGATGGTCAGCGCAGGAAGAAATCCTCAACAGCTTGGAGTCATTCGCCACCCACTGTCATGGGGTCCATTCTGACCCCGTGATTCTCGAGGGGTTCCAAGGTTGCCAGGCTCGATGGGAGCAGATAGCCTCATCTTTGGCAATGCCCCAGAGAAGCTGGGGGTTTGAACCACTGACCTGGCACCACCCAGGATCCTAGTCATTGAGAAATGAAATGCA